TCAGAATGGCCATCATTCAAAAGTCCACAAACGATAAATGCTGGAGAGGCTGTGGAGAAAAGGGAACTCTCCTACACTGCTGGTGGGAATGCAGTTTGGTGCAGCCACTGTGGAAAACAGTATGGAGATTCCTCAAACTAAAAACAGACTTACCATATGATCCAGCAATCCCACTCCTGAGCATGTATCCAAAGAAAACTCTAATTTGAAAAGATACATGCACCCCAGTATTCACTGTAGCATTATTTGCAATAGCTAAGACATGGAAGCAACCTAAATGTCCATCAACAGATGACTGGATAAAGAAGATGCGGTATGTATATATATATACAATGGAACAGCTCTCAGTCATAAAAAGAGAAAGAAATAATGCCATTTGCAGCAACATGGGTGGACCTACAGATTATATACTAACTAAAGTCAGACAGAGAAAGATAAATACCATATAACTTATATGTGGAATGTAAAAAAGTAACACAAATGAATTTATTTACAAATAGAGACTCACAGACATAGAAAACAAACATGGTTACCAAAGAGGAAAGAGGGGAAGGAATAAATTAGGAATTTGGTATTAGCAGATACAAACTACCATATACAAAATAAATACACAACAAGGTCCTACTGTATAACACAGGGAACTATATTCACTAGCTTATAATAACCTACAATGGAAAAGAACATGTGTGTGTTTGTATAAAAACAAATTAAAAAACTGAATCACTCTGCTGTACCCCAGAAACTAGCACAACATTGTAAATCAACTACACTTCAATTAAAAAAAGATTAGGAAAAAGACCTAGAAAAATGAAATAATTATGGTTACCAGGGGGAAGGGGTGGGAAGGGATAAATTGGGAGTTTGAGATTTGCAGATACTGACTGGTATATATAAAATAGGTAAGTAAGTTTATACTGTATAGCACAGGGAACTATATTCGATATCTTGTAGTAGCTTACGGTAAAAAAGAATATGAAAATGAATATATGTATATTCAGGTATGACTGAAACAATGTGCTGTACACCAGAAATTGACACATTGTAAACTGACTATACTTCAATAAAAAAAAAATAAAATGGCATAGTATTTGCATATAACCTAAAAAAATAAAAATACAATTGATTTTTGCATACTGAGCTTGTTTTCTGCCACCCTGCTAAACTCACTCATTACTTTGAATAACTCTTTTCTAGATTTCAATGAATATTCTACATAAACAATCACATTGCCTGCAAATAAAGCTTCACTTCTTTTTGTCTAATTTGGGTAGCTCTCCTCTCTTTTCCTTGCCTGCTTGCATTGGCTAGAACCTCTAGAACAACACTGAATAAAGGTGGTAAGGGTGGACATATTTATCTCTTTTTTTCAATTTTTATTGTGATAAAATAATACATAACACAAAACTCACTATCTTAACCATTTCACAAGTACAATTCAGTGTCAATGAGTACATTCATTTATTCTGCAACCATCACCATCATTCATCAAGAGAATTCTTTTCATCTTGTACAACTGAAACTCCATACCCATAAAGGATAACTTCCAATTTCCCCACCTCCCCAGGCCCTGGCAACCACCATTCTCTCTGTCTCTATGATTCTGACTACTCTAAGTAGCTTATATGATTGGAATCATACAATACTTGTCTTTTTGTGGCTGGTTTATTTCAGTTAGCATTAATTTACTCAAGGCTCATCCATGTTTTAACATACTAAAATTGCCTTCCTTTTTAGCACTGTATAATAATCCACAGCATGTATATCTGACATTTTGCTTATTCATTCATCTGCTGATGGACACTTCAGTTGCTTCCATGTTTTAGCTATTGTGAATAATGCTACTATGAACATGGGTGTACAAATATCTCTTCAAGACACTGCCTTCAATTCTTCTGCTTTTATATACTCAGAAGCAGAACTGCTGGATCATATGGTTAATTCCATTTTTAACTTTTTAAGGAACTGCAATACAGTTTCCACAGCAGTTATTCTATTTCCATACCTTTGTTTTTCCTAATTGTAGGGAGACAACATTCACTCTTTCACCCTTAAGTATGATATTAGCTATAACTTCTTTGTAGATGTTATCATGTTGAGGAAGTTCGTTTCTACTCCTAGTCTGCTGAGACTTTTTATTAGGACTTTTTAAAATGCTTTTTCATTTCATCTACTAAAACTATCATATAGTTTTCTTTGCTTGTTAATATGATGAACTATATTGATTGGTTTTCTAATGCTAAACCAATAATGCACTCCTAGAATAAAGTCCTACTTGGTCATGATGTATTTCTTACTTAAGTATATTGCCGGATTCAATTTTCTAAAATAATGTTTAGAACGTTTACATTTATGTTCATGAGGGATATTGGCCTGAAGTCTTCTCTTACTGTAATGTGCTTTTCTGGTTTTGGTATTAGAGTAACGTGGGCCTTACAGACTGGGTCGGGAAGCATTCTTCCCTTTCGATGTTCTGGAAGAGTTTGTGTAGAACTCGTACATATATATCAATTATCCCAGAGCTCAGTGATTTTTTTTTTTCTTTAGTTGAAGTTCTTCTTTTTCTCTTTTTCATTCTGGATAGTTTTCCTTGCTTTATCTTCAAGTTCACTTACCTTTTCTCTTGCAATATCTGATTTTCCATTAGTTCTACACACTGTAATTTTTCATCTTAGACAGTAGTTTTCATTTCTGTAAGTTCAATTTTAATCTTTTTTATACCTTCCATATCTCTATTTTTTGGGAGATCAGAAATATACTTGTTAAATGTCTTAATGTCCTTCTCTGCTAATTCTACTATGTCAGTTCAAGATCAGTTTTGATTGGCTGGTTTTTCTTCTCTTCATGATTTGTGTTTTCCTGCTTCTTTGTATTTCAGAAAATCTCTGACTGAACGTCAGACAGTGTAAACTTTTTTGGGGTGAAGGACATTTTGTATTTATATAAATATTCTCAAGCTTTGTTCTGTAATGACATTAAATACATAGAAATAGTTTATTCTTTTGGGTCTTGCCTTTAAAACTTTTTAGGTGGGACTAGACCACATTTAGTTCAGGGCTAAATATTCCCCACTACTGAAACAAGATCTTTCTGAGGACTCTACCCAATGCCCCACAAAGTTCTCTAGTCTGGATAGTGGGAAAATACTATTCCAAGCTTTGTGTGAGCAACAAGCACTGTTCTAATGCCCTCAAATGGTTCTTTCCCTGACTTAGTTTTTCTCACATGCATGCACCAATCAATACTGTGCTGAACACTCTAAGGGGACTGTCCTTGTATCTCTGGATGTCTCTGTGTATAGCTTTCTCTATTTCGTTATTCTGTCCTACAAACTCTAGCCACATTGTACTCCCTGGACTCAAGTCCACCTCCTCAACTCTGGGAGTCCACTGGGTTCCACTCTCTACAGTACAATCTAGAAACTCTCAAAAAAGCTGCAGTGGTCATTGTACTTACCACATTTGTTTTCCATTCACTGTCTGTTCCTCATTGACTAAAAATCATTGTTAGCTGTTTTTGTCTTTTTTGGGGGGGGGTATTTCAAGGAGATGGTAAGTCCAGTCCCTGTTATTCCAGCTTCACCAAAAGCAGAAATCAAGTACAATTGCTTTTAAGGCTGGTTGGTTGGGTTTTTTTTTATAATACTCTAAAATTCCCCTATAATATATACAGTGTATACTGGCTTTCTTTTTAAGTTTCTTGTTTAGAAGTCTCTGAGCTTCCTGCAACTAATGATCATCATCTTTCAACATTTCTTGAAATTTCTGTTATCATCTCCTAAACTATCACTTTTTCCTCTGTTCTATTAAGTCTCCTGAAGCTCTATTTAAATAAAAATAGGCTGATAAAATTTGAGTGACTTCTTTTCCTTCTAAGTTCATGATTTTTCTCAATGCTTTTTTTTTAAGATAAATGTACTGAGCACTTACTATGTGACAGACGCTGTACTAATAATACAGAAACAAAAATAAATAAGAAACAAAACTTGCCCTCTAAAATACTGGATACTGAAGTCTAGAAAAGGACAAATGGCAGATATTTATAATACAGTGTATTAGGTTTTCTGAGCAAGCTGCTATAAGAGCACAGAGAAAGGGTACCTATAACAAAGACCTGTCGGGAAGGTCAGGTAAAAGAGTATTTCTCAGAGAAGATATATAAGCAGAGACCTCAAGTAAAAGTATTAATATTATAACTTTGAAAAGAAAAAAATTAAATAGCTAATATATTAATGAATTTTAAAAAGAAAACATTCTACTTACACCATGTCTATATGAAATGTTTTAATAAAAATAACTGAAATTGATGAATTTCCAAAATCTAAAGTTTATCAGGTCCTACATGGTCTGGACTTCTTCAGTTTCATCTCCTATAATTTTCCTCCTTCTAGCTCTCTTTGCTTCAATCAAACTAGACTCTTTCAGTCCAGCATGACTTTTATTTATGCTGCTTTTCTGTGTAAAATGCTCTCAGTTTACCCCTCTAAGCCACTCACCTTTCTGATTTTTAAACTACTACTTCAAGGTTCAACAACTCAAAATGCCACTTTCTCAAAGAAACAATCCCTCTTCTAGACTAAATAAAATGTCCTGTATACTTCCTTAGCACCACCTTTCCCCCTTTAATAATACTCATCATACTTAAATCCTTATTCAGTGTGCCTTCACCAGTACTTTAGAAACTCTGAGTGCAAGAACCATAACTATCTTATTCACTGCTCCCTAGACCTAGCAAATAAATCACTAAATATCAGTTGAACTAACTGACTGTACCTTACTTTTAAGCTTAAGAATCAATATATGTTAGTATGAGCAAACTGGTCCCTGAGAAGGTTCCACTCTTGACCAACTAAGATAAGGAGGGCAATCACAGCTTTCAACTCTATCACTTCAGTTACTACTATAAGACTGGACAATATTTAATTTTTAGTTTCATTAATAAAAATATTTGATATTCTTTTACCATTCAATAAATAAATAAACTATTTTATAAAAAGAACTTACCAAAATGTTTTTCTTATGTCGTTTCTCCTTTATATGTTTATGAGCTCCCTGGATGTTTTCAATATGAATTAAGCAAAGTTTGCATAGATATCGGCAATTGGTATATTCTGGTGAGCGCTAAAAAGAAAAGTTAAAAATATATTTTTTTCAGAAAATAAAAAAGTAAATTTTGGACTATATATATGAATGATACAACTATGTAAGCACTGAAGAAACAATTTTTAATAAAAAATCAGTACTTAAATACCCAAGAGATAGCTGTCCTTTTCAAAATAGTCATCATTTAAATTGATAATATACTAATTTAAAACAGTATCATGATAATGCTAAACATATTGGATACTTATCTAATATAGCCTTTAGAATCCAATGTAAGATAAGAAAGGCAGTATTGTTCCTTAGTCTTATTCTAACACTGTCCCAAAAATTGGTTTCAAAGTTTCAGTCTTTTTGATTACTATAAAAAATAAAATCCACCCTCAAATAGGGGATTTGAAAAAAATAAACTGCAAATAAAAAAGACAATTCCAAAAGCTGAGTTCTGAAAACTTTCCAATCAGTTACAATCAAATGGGAATAAATGGAGAGCCTCTTGAGTTAACTACTCTGAAGGGAATAATCCTGACACATGAAAAGCATCAGTCACAGTAGTTAACTTTATATATACTTTATATATGTATTATTGAAATAAAAAATCATTCCAAAGCATCTGTCATATGCCAGGCACTATGATAGATGTTTCACATACAATTTGTCATTTTAACTCCCCTAGTAATATAATTAGATTGGTATTGTCTTCATTTTACAGATGTGAAAACAAAGCTCATGGAGTTTTCAACTTTCACAAGGTTACAACAATATTAAGTGGTTGATGATGAATTTAAGTTCATGTATATCTGAATCCAAAGCCAAAACTCTACCCATAAGATTACATAATAAAAAATAACAAAAACACAGTAAGGACACATGTTAAATTTTAAAACATTGTTTCTAATGCCTTACATGGAAACTCCAGCAATGCTTAATTTTTGTTACACATTGATCTTCAATAGGCTACAACTCCTGACAAAAAGATTCTCACTTCAGAATACAACATAATTTTCTTTAAATTCTTTAAATGCACCAAATTTAGCAACAGTCCTGCCACAGACTAAAAATATAGACTTCATTTATAGAGTGTCTATTGACCTTACAACATCCCTATGAGGAGTCTGCATTTTAATGGTAAAGTAACTAAACGCCTAAAATTAAATAATTTGCCCAAGGCAACAAGCAAATAAGCAAATTCAGCTCCATCTAGTCATTTCAATTCTTTAGTATAAAAATTATTTCTAATCTAAACTTATTGCCTCACAGAAACTTCTACCTCTCAGTTTCCAACCCCAACTACTTTATTCACCAAATATATTCTGAACTCATACTATAGGTCAAACATTTTTCTAGGAGCTGAGGATAATAGTGTAAGCAAAACAGATGAAAATCCCCGTCCTCATGAATTCACATTCTAGTGTAGGAAGACAGGTAATAAACAAATGCACAAACAAATATATAAATAAAATACGGGGGAAGAAGGGGCTATCTGCCTTTTAAAAACAGACTTATCACTGAAGATCTTACTGATAAAATGACTTAAAGGAAGTGAAGGATTGAGCTATGTGGATAAAGGAAAAGACATTCCAAGCAGAGAGAAGTATGAATGCTAAGTCCCTAAGGCAGGAATGTGCTTAATATGTTTGAGAAACTGCAAAAACACTAGCCATGACGAGAACACAGAGGTAATGGGAGTCAGATCACAGAGTCCTTGGAAGGACTCCAGCTTTTATTCTATTGTATGAGGTGAAGGTATTGAAGATTTCTGAGCAGAGAATTACAAGATCTAACCTAATTTTAAAGTGATCACTTGCCTTCTATATTAAGAATAGAAGAAGGGCTCATTGCTATTATGAACATACTGCAACAATCCAGAAGAAAGATGACGCTGGCTTGGTTCAAGGCAAGAGTGGTGGAAGTGGCAAGAAGGGTGGGATTCAGGAGTTAAAAGCAGAAATACAGAACACCTGAAGCCATGAATACTGATAAAGTCATGATATCACTCATCAATCATACTTTTTCAATCGCAAAATGTGAGCAGATAAGGACATGCCCAGATTCTTTCAGTGAGAAAAACTTGGTATAACATGGACTGAAGAGTCAGAAGGCCTGAAATGACAACTCAGTTGACCTGGGATAAATCTCTGACACTTGAGTCTGCTTCTATATCCTTAACATGAAATAGTAAAAATTGCCCTACCTGATAATATAATTAAGTTCTACATGTAGCTAATCTTTATTTAGTGCTTACCACATACCAGGCACTCTGCCAAGAACTTTGCCTTGTATTATCTTATTTAACCATCACAATAGCCCAATAAGCGAGGTTATCATTATTTTTATCAACTCCATTTTAATGATGAAGAAACATAGGTTTAAAGAAATTACCTAACTTATCCAATATTATCTAACCAGTAAGTAGCAGAGCTAGACCCACTGATTCCAAAACCTGTACACTTAACCACTAAGCAAACTACCTCTAATTACTGACCAACTACTACTATGTGCAAGGCACTGTATTAAGTACAATAGCAAATAAGACAAAAATGTCCTCATTATCATGAAGCTTCTATTTTCACAGAAGGGACACATGAAAAATGTTCAAAAATTCTTTTCTTATACTCATATTTTATTTTACCATTAAACAAACACACCAAAAAACTTCAAGGTTTCTGCCGACCAGTTAGAATGATTTCTGTCCTGAACAATCAATGCATCAAAGAAAATATTAAAGACGAAACAAAGTTTCCTGAGACAAATAAAAATGGAAACACAACAGATCTTGTGGGATACTGCAAAAGCCAATTCTAAGAGGGAAGTTTATAGCAATAAAAGTCTCCATTAAAAATCAAGGAAGATCCCAAATAAACAACCTAACTCTATGTCTTAAGCAAGCAGAAAAAGAAGAACAAACTGAGCCAAAGTTAGCAGAAGAAAGGAAATAATAAACATTCGAGCAGAAATAAATGAATTAGAGAACAGATTCACAGATATAGAGAACAAACTAGTTGTTACAAGTGAGAAGAGGGAAGTGGGGAGGGGCAATATAGGCGTACAGAATTAAGAGGTACAAATCATTATGTATAAAATAAGCTATAAAGATGTATTGTACAACACAGGGAATGTAGTCAATATTTTGTAATAACTATAAATGGCATATAATCTTTGAAAACTGTGAATCACTATATTGTACACCTTATATAATACTGTACATCAACTATACTTCAATTTTTAAAATAATAAAATAAGTGAATTCTATAATAGAAAAAAATAGAAAAGATTAACCAAACTATGAGTTGGTTCCTTAAAAGATAAACAAAATTGACAAACTCTTAGATAGACTAACCAATGAAAAAAGAGAAAGGACCCGAATTAACAACATTATAAATGAAAAAGGAGACATTACAACTGCCACTACTGAAATTTAAAGGATCATAAGAGGCTACTATGAACAAATACACACCAACAAACTGGACAATCTAGAAGAAATGGAAGAAGTCTTAGAAACATACAGTTTACCAAGACTGAATCAGGAAAATATAGAAAATCTGAATAGACCAATTACTAGTAAAAAGAGTAAGTCAGTAATCAAAAATCTCCCACTGAAGAAAAGCCCAGGATCAGATGGCTTCCCTGGTGAATTTTATGAGACATTAAAAGAAGTAACACCAATCCTTCTCAAACTCTTCCACAAAGTCAATAAGGAGGGAACATTCCCAAACTCCTTTTATGAGGCCAGCATTATCCTGATACCAAAAAGAAAAGGACACTACTCGAAAATTTTAGGCCAATTTCCCTGATGAATATATATACAAAAATTCTCTATAAAATACTAGCAAACTTAATTCAGTAGCAGGATAAAAGGATCATACACCATGATCAAGCAGGATTTATCCCTGGGATGCAAGGATGGTTAAATATATACAAATTAATCACTGTGATACATTACATTAATAGTATAAATGAATCATTTAATCATCTCAATAGACACAGAAAAAGCATTTGACAAAATTTAATATCCATTTATGATTAAAAACTCTTAAGAAACCAGGCATAGAAGGAACATATCTCAACATAATTTTACAGGGTATATATGACAAGCCCACAGCTAACCTCATAATCAATGCTGAAAGGTTGAAAGCTTTTCTCTAGGATCAGGAACATGACAAGCGTGCCCAGTCTCACCACTCTTATTCAACATAGTACTAGAAGGTCTAGCTAGAGCAATCAAGCAAAAAAGAAAAGAAATAAAAGGTGTCAAAATTGGAAAGGAAGAAGTAAAATCATCTATTCTTGCAGATGACATGATTTTAGTGTTAGACTTAATCAATGAATTCAGTAAAGATGTAGGATACAAAATTAACATAAAAAAAATCAGTAAGTAGTGTTTGTACACACTAACAAGAAATTTTCTGAAAAAGAAGGAAATAAATCCTGTTTACAATAGTATCAAAAATTATAAAATACTTAGAAATAAATTTAACTAAGGCCGTGAAGGCCTCTACTCTGAAAACTATAAGACACTGATGAAAGAAGCTGAAGAAGACACAAATGGAAAGATACCCCATGTTCAAAGATTGAAAGAATAGTTAAAATGTCTATACTACCAAAAGTCATCTATAGATTCAATGCAATCCCTATCAAAATGGAATTTTACCAGAAGTAAAAAAAAGCACTCCTAAAATTTATATGGACTCACAAAAAACCCTGAATGCCAAAGAAATCCTGAGAAAGAATAACAAAGTCAGGAGGCATGACACTTAATGCTTTTGAGTTATATGACAAAGTTATAGCCATCAAAACAGTATAGTACTGTTTTATACTTATAGCATAAAAACAGACCAATTGAACAGAATCAAGAGCCCAAAAATAAACCCAAGCATATAAGGTCAACTAATATTTGAAAAGGGAGCCAAGAATACTCAATGAAGAATGGACATCTTTTCAAGAATTGGTGCTAGAATAACTGGATATTCACAAGGACAAAAAGAAAACTGGATCCACATCTTATGACACTCCCAAAAATTAACTCAAAATGGACTAAAAACTTGAATGGGAGACCTGAAACCATGAAACTCGTGGAAGAAAACACAGGCATAAAGCTCCTTGACATAGGTCTTGGTAATGATTTTTTGGATATAACACTTATAGTACAAGCAGTAAAATCCAAAATAAACAAATGGGACAACAACAAACTAAAAAGCTTCTGCAGGGCAAAGGAAACCATTAACAAAGTGAAAAGACAACCTACAGAATGAGAAAATTTACAAACCATGTATCTGATAAGGGATTAATATCCAAAATACATAAAGAACTCATACAACTCAATAGCAAAAAAACAAGACTTAATTTAAAAATGGGCAAAGGCCCTGAAGAGACATTTTTCCAGAGAAGATAGGTACGTGAAAAGATGCTCAACATCACTAGTCATTAGAGAAATGCAACCACAATGATGGGGGGAGGGCAAAGTTCAGTGGTAGAGTGCAATGTTTAGCATGCGTGAGGTCCTAGGTTCAACCCCTGGTACTTCCATTTAAAAAATAAATAAACAAACAAACCAAATTACCTCCCCTCCACCAAAAAAAATTATAATAAAACCCCAATAAGATAGTGCCTCATGCTTGTTAGAACTGCCATTATCAAAGACAAGAGGTAATAAATGTTGACATGGATGTGGAGAAAAGGGAACCCTAGGTTCCCTACAACCCTACAGTGCTGGTACGAATATAAACTGGTACAGCCACTATAGAAAACAGTATGGAGGTTACCCCCCCAAATTAAAAATAGAACCACCATATGATCCAGAAATTCCACTCCTGGGAATATATCCAAAGGAAACAAAAACACTTAACTGAAACAAGATATCTGTACCCCATGTTCATAGGAGCATTATTTACAATAGCCAAGGAATGGGAACAACCTAAGTGTCAATCAACAGATGAATAGATAACGAAGTTGTGGTGTATACATATAAAACAGAGTATTATTCAGCCATTAAAAAAAATGAGGAAATTCTACCATTTGCAACAATATGGATGGACCCTGAAGGGATTATGCTAAGTGAAATAAGTCAGACAGAGAAAGACAAATACTGTATGATCTCACTTACATGTGGATAGAAAGAAAGAAAGAAAGAAAAGAAAGAGAGAGAGAGAGAGAGAGAGAGAGAGAAGAGAGAGAAGAGAGAAGAGAGAGAGAGAGAGGAAGGAAGGAAGGAGGAAGGGAAGGAAGGAGGAAGGAGAGGAGGAGGAGGAGAAGAGGAGAGAGAGAGAGAGAGAGAGAGAGAGAGAGAGAGAGAGGAGAGAAAGA